AGCCCTCTGCACCAGGCCGACCAGATTAACAAACATCCTTCCTTTCACCACCCTCAGTTTCCTCTGTACTCGCTGTAGTTCCTCTGCTTGAAACCAGTCAACCCATTCCAGGACCAAGAGTGGATTCCACAAAGAGCACAAATGCGCTGAGCTCAGGATGACATTTCAGTATGGGTGAGACTGACTAGCATTCCAGGGCCATTTCTGTCTCTTTTTACATTTTAAAAATGAACAGTTTTACATTGGTGCAGGGCATCCAAATCTTCTCCCCACAGAAGTAAGGTTGATATTTGGAGGCCTTTCTTAGGGCTTCTTTGCCACAGTTTTTTATTCTTTTTAAATAAAAGCGTACATAATTTATTAAAATGAGTGGTCTCTCTCAAACCTGCAGTCAGGTGTAAACATGCCATGATCCTAAGAAGTGACTTAATCCACTGTGCTACGAACCCCAGAGGACACTACATTAGATTTTTGTACAACTGGAGCTAAATTATTTAGTTTCTCTCAGACTCAACTTCCTTGTGTATAAATCAGGAATATCACATCACAATGGGTTTTGCTGAGCTACTGTACAGACTAAATGAAATGATGAAAAACACCTAGCATGGTGCCTGGAAGGAAGACTCTGCTGTAATAAATATGAGCAACTCTCGTTTTCTATGATGGCCTATGGGTATTGCAGAAACCATGCTGTGTGTCAGTGAACTTTCCACTGACCAGACAGGAAAGACCTAAGAAATTTGGAAAGGTGAAAGACTATGACTCATCTGAACGAGAGCACTGGTCATTAGTTTTCACAAAGCATCTGACTTGTACAATGTTCATGAATTTTGCTACGAGATTGATAATGTAAACTAGAATTTCAACAGCCACGTGTAGTTAAGGAGGCTGTGGAACACTGAATCCCCTTGCAGTGTACAGCAATACATTTTGATGGAAACAGAGCTAGAGAAATTTCCAAGATACATGGCTAAAGGAAAGAGCATGGTAAAGAACAACACTGTGGTGCATTACCATTCATGTAGCAAAATGTGGGGGTACATGTGTGTCACTCACATACCTGTAAAAACGTGGGGGTATACATGTGTAGTAACTTACATACTTGTAATGTGGATGGGCATGCTAAAAACAAGTAAAGCTGGTCACCACAGGGATGGAGAAAACATGACAGAGAAGACAAGGAGAGAGGCCAGACTTTCCTAAATCTGCCTTGCTTGGTAGATTTGCCCCTGGAACCACAGAACGGCTTTATATAATTATAAAGCAAATTTAAGTTCTAAAAAAAAGTAATCCCTGAAAGTTAAAATAGAGCAAACCTAAATGTTTACTGAGTTTGTTGTTTAAGCACAAAGAGAGGAATTATTTCAAGTGACATTGAAAACAGTTTTTTCCTTTCTCTCTGTCTGTCTTTGTCTCTGTCTCTGTCTCTCTCTCTCTCCCTCCCTCCCTCTCTTGCAGTGCTAGGGATCAAACCCAGGACCTCACCCATGCTAGAAAAGCACTATCCACTGAGCTATACCGTCTGCCCTCAAACATAGTAATTTGGCAATTCATCCCTAATGGGATATACTCTAACAACAAAAATAACTACAATTTTTTTTAAACAGTTATATTACTAGTGATGTACCAATAGTTATTTTGAGAGTGTTTTATATATACTGTAGCATGAAGCCAAATAAATACCTTAATATGATTAGGAACCAACATTTTCAGCATAAGAAAAGAAGAGTAATAGAATTATAAAAAAGAAATAAAGTACTACAGTATAAATGAAACTTGAAATATCAGTATAAACTTACTTCAAAAGGGAAGAAAGAAAGACTTCCTTGCTAATTCCTTTCATTCAAAGGACTATAACAAATTACCAATATGATGTCCACAAACACCTGTGGAGCTCACATTGTGGTCTCTAAGCATCATTTCCCATGAATAAGAGCAGCACTCCTTACAGAAATGACTGATTCCAAAGACAAGGCACAGAATGTGCAGCAGGAGCCTAGAATATCTTGTTATACCAGAAATCAAAGAAGCTGTTAAGATCTATTGGGAAGGTGACATGATGGTGCATGCCTGTAAGGCCAGTACTTGGAGGATGAGGCAGGGGAATTGTGTGGTTTGAGGCCAGTCTGGAAGCAGGATATAGCAGGATCCTGCTTCAACACAAAAAAACAGGAACAAAAATGAGCTATTGGGATTGCCTCAGAAAGACTCCATGCACAACATAATTGTGCAGGTAAAGACTGTGTGGAGTACTTTTTAAAAATCATCAAAACAAGAGGGCTGGCAACGTGGCTCAAGTGGCAGAGCACCTGACAAACAAGCACAAGGTCCTAAATCAAACCCCAACACCCTCCCTCCAAAAAAAGAATCATGTAAAAATAATGTACACACATAAGATCACCACAGTAAAAGCTAAAACACAAGCTTAATGAGTACAGAGGCATTATTCTAAATTGCATGTGGTGCAAATCAAAACAATCTGAAGAAGAAGGACATTAGAGGGTATGTACTTGCTGATTTAAGACTTACTGTAGAGTCACGGCAGCAAGGTAGTGTGGCATTAGCATTGAGTAACGACTCATAAACGAGTGGAACACAGGAGTCTAGACCTAGACCTGGACACGCATGGCCAATGTATTTTTGATGAAGGTGGCGAGTCAATCCAGTGAGGGAAGAAAACGTCTTGTAAACAAATGTTGCCGAACAACCAGCCATAGAGAAAAGAAGTAAACCTTAACCCCTCAAGTTAGTCAGCTTTCCACTGCTGTGGCGAATCTCTAAGGCAAATAACTCGGAGGAGGAAAGGCTTATTCTGGCCACAGCTGCAGAGGCCTCAGTTACTTGGCCCTATCCTTCTGGCCTGTGGTGAGGCAGACGCCACGGGCAGTGCGTGGTGGAGCAATGCTGCTTGCCTCACGGTGGTGTGGAAGCAGAGTGACTGGAGGAGACAGGGTCTCAACACCCCTTCAAGGACAGACACAATGACCTACCTCCTCTGACTAGTTTCCATCATTTCCCAAAAGCACTGTCAGACCAAACCTTCAGAACATGAGCTTTTGGGGGACACCTAAGAGCCAAACCGTAATACCCATCTCACTCCATATACAAAACTCACTTGAAATGGATAATTCTAGTATCGAAGCTAAAACCACAAATCCTCCAGAAGGAAACAGGAGAAAAGTCACTGTTACCTTAGGATAGACAAAGATTTTTAAGAAAAAAATCTATTAGCCACAAAAGAAAAAAACAATAAACAGAGTATCATCAAAATTAAAAATATCTGGTCACTCACTAATAAAATGAATAAGGCTATAGGTTTCACAGAATCAAAAAATATGTGTACAGCAATTGTATCTGATGAAGGTCATGAATGCAGAGTACACAGAACTCCCATAAATTAACAATAACAAAAAAACAAGACTTAACCAGCCACCTCTAAAAGAAGATATCTGAATGGCTAACAAGGACATAACAAGATGGTTAAGGGCTTGGGGTGCAGCTCAGTGGTAGAGTACTTGCCTGGCATGGGAAAGCTGGATTCTGAGCATTAACCCCCATCCCCCAAAGCAGCCAAAGTATCCTCAGTCATGAGAGAAAGGCAAATTAAAACCACAAGGCAGTACCCCTATTATCTAGAATACCTAAAATAAAAAGACAGGTAGTATTAAAATGTTGACAAGGAAATGGAGCAACTGGAACTCATACAGTACTGGTGGACTACATACACTTTAGAGACTGCTTTTTGTTGTTGTTCTTACAAAGTTTAACAAACTCCTAAATGTCATCAATTCTACTCCTAGGTATTTACTCAAGAGAAAACATAAGCTGACAAAAAAATTTTTTTTGCACAAGTGTTCACAGTAGACTTATTTTTAATAGCTCCAAACTAGAAACTGTTCCATGTGTCCACCAACCAGAAAACAGGTTAAAAAAAAAAAAAAAGCTCTACACCAGAAAGTATTACTCAACAAAGAAAATAACGTATCCATACTCATAAGAGAAGGATGAATCCCACAAGTGAGCTAAGTGAGACCAGCCAGATGCAACACCATGATTCCATTTTCTAAAACAGATTCCAGGATCAGGCAGAATGGCAGCAGTAAGGACATGAGAGTGGCTGCTCAAAGGAGCAGCAATTTGGGATTACAGGAAAGGGGCACAAGGAAACTTTCGGTGTAGAAAGAAATGGTCTCTATCTCGTGGTGATGGCTACGTGGGTCTGTACAACTGTCAACACTCTGAAGGGAACATTTAGGATCTGTGCATTTTACTGTATCTAAATTATACTTCAAGTTTTTAATCCCTAACAAAAACATTTTTAAGCGTACTGGCCCTCTATCACTGGATAATTAGCAACTGCTAATTGGGATTATGGATAATTTTTTTCTTTTGTTGGTTCACATTTTCTGGAAAATCACAGTTTTTTATAATGCATATATGCACGTACAGATAATCTTCCTCTTTCCTGTAACTACATTATATGTCATCAGTGTTCATCTTCTGAAGACAGGATGGGGTAATTAAGGAGTGTGTCTCTAGGGATCTGAAAGGTCCCTAGTAGTGTAGGATCTGAAAGGGGCTGAGAAGCTCAGGCCAAGGCCACACGGCTCCAGGGAAGAGGATGCAGATGGATCCAGTGGCAGCGCTCGTCTCTTACTTCATTGGGGCAGATCAAAGAGCCTCCATTTCCTTACCCTGTCTCAAATCTAAGGAATTAGAGTAGTCATGAGTGGGGCATGTGGTACACACCTATAATCCCAATAATCAAGAGACGGAGGCAAGAGGAACTCGAATTCAGACTAGCCTGGACTACATAGCAAGATCACGTCTCAAAAAACAAATAAAAATAAATAAATAAAAAATACTGTAGTAGTCATCTCCGATACTATATGGAAAGTACCTTCCTCAAAAGTCTGATTTCTTACGTAATATCCTAAAAGAAGCCACAAGAGCAGCCACAATGGAACAAGTCATCCTTGTGAGTGGCGCCAAGCTCTCACCTGTTGGTATGGTAGTTGTGATTCTGCAGCCCGTGGGACAAGCTCTGTGTGCTCGGCTGCTTTCCCTCCATGCCCTGCCAACTGTCTTCTGTCCACTTCCTCTTGATCTGTTTCTCCTCCTGTTTTTTCCCCACATATTCTGCATAGGTCTGGATCCGGTAGCTTTCTGCATATTTGCTTGTATTGACAGCTACAAGGAAAAGAAAGAAATCCTTATAAGAGATAAGAATGTCAATTAGGAAAGCTGGCCTGAGGTGACCAAAGGAGCCCTAGGCTCAGGTCTAAGCTGTGCCATTGAGGAGGAAGGTGACTTTGAGCACATTCTGGTCTGTCCTTCTCTATGGGAAGGTCACTGCTCCCCAGTCTCCCTTCCCAGTGGGGAGGAGTTCTGTAAACTGTAACAAACTGTAGTGATGTAAAATAAAATACTATCAAGACATTTGCCGCAACCATAACTGTCATTTTCGGAGTCAGAAAAGGAAAATATACAGCAGGCAAAAACTGTAAACTTTCACTAGTTTGTTAAAAATAAAAATGATAACTAGAGCTGTATGGACAGTGGTAGTGAGTTCTGTGTCAAATACAGAAGGCCTGCTGTGTGTCTGTGCTCAGTGTTTGCCCCAGAACTGGACAAGGGCTCCAGGGCATCAGTGTCTTAAATCCCAGACAAGGACAGCTGTGAGACTACTTAAGAGAGTTCAAGATCAGCCTGAACTGCATCAAGAGACCTTGTCTCAAAAACAGAAACAAATAAACGAAAAGCCTCAAAATATTAAGAAACTTTCATATGTATGTTGCAGTCTCCTGGAGAAGTGTTGGGAGTTAAGTGAGCTCACTCCAATTCACAAGGAGACAAGGGGGGTGAGGGGAGCCGGCTCTGGATATGAGTGACCTAGACCCATTACTCAATCAATGTGATAAACAATGAGAGCCACGGGTCCTACCATCATGAGTCTGACCCAACAGCTGGCAAGGCAGCATCTCTTGGATCTCGCTCTTAAATTCCATTCTTTGATCTAAAAGGTTTATTTTGATGTCTGCCCAAAAGGATGGCACTCACAATAATCCCTCTCTCAAATTTAATTTGGATTACCAAGTAAAAAAGCGGACTCGGGTCAATATCCCCCACAACAGCAAGGGTGATGACAGGGCCAGAAAGCAGCCAAGAGGATGTGTTTAACAGTACCCAACACTTTCCAATTATTCTGCTTCTAGTTCCATGGTCAAATGCACAAAACAGCTGGTTAATGTGGAGAGGGAATTTATCTGAGCACATTAGGAATTGGGATCACTTAAAAGGGGAAACGAGTAACAATCCACTTTTCACTGCTAGCCTTCACATGGCAATAATTTACCAGCATTCCTTCATGTCCCGGCAGCTTTGCAGCTCTGGGCCTTTAATCTAGAAGCCAAGCTCTGGCTCCAAGCCACGCCTCTGATGGATGAATCACCAGAATGAATTGTCAACCCTGTCATCCAGCGAGGAGCATAGCTTGCCTGCTAGAGGCCGCAAGGAGCAAGCTGCTTGGTAGCACTAACCTTTTCCAAATTTGTCAGGGAAGTGATTCAAGGCCATCTTTTGGTCCCAACACTTTGTCAAAGCCACCTGGGAACCAAACCCATTGGGAGTCACCCTGTTTCCCGGTAGGCAAGTGAGGCAGTTATCATGGAACATAACAATCTCATCTGTTCACAACTTCATCGTCTCCTGACACTCTGCATACATCACAGCATTTAATCTCCACAGCTCCCCAAGGAAGGGATGTTCCAATTACCACATCCAAGAAGCTACACAGCTGGCTAAGGCCTTGTAGGTAAGTAGCAAGGCTGGTTTGGAACCAGCCAGAGATATACAGACACAATTCTGCCACATGTTTGTTTGCTATATATTTATAGGTATCTTGTTTACTTAAGGTTGATAACTATCTTATAAAGTCTTTCCTGTGTTAGGGGTTTTAAAGGATGACTTAAAATGTTCATTTTTTTTTTTTAAATTTAGAACTTTCTGGCTAGGCATGCATGGTGGTGCACAAATATAATCTCAGCCCTTGGGAAGCTGAGGCAGGAGGATTTCAAGTTCAAGGCCAAGCCTGGGCTACATGGTGAGTTTGAAGCCAGCCTGGGTTGCATAGCAAGATGTTCTTTCAATAAACCAAAAAAATCCCCGAACTTTCCTTTATTGTCAAGCAGTCTCTCCAGCTAAGTTGATAGACTCATTATGTTTATGGACAGGAAGACAACATAAGATGGAGATTCCTTCTGAAATTGATCCACAGACTTAATGGAACTCCAGCAAAAAATGCCAATATTTTAATTAAGCATTGCAGAAACTAAAAATAGAAATTAAGGTTAAAAAAAAATCTCAACAGAAAGGAGTAGACTGGGGGTGTAGTTCAAGCGGCAGAACACCTGCTTTGCAAGTACAAAGCCCTCAGTTCAAATCCCAGTCCCAACAACAAAAAAAGTTAAAAATCTAGGGCAGGGATATAGTTCAGTGGTATAACACTTGCCTAGCATGCATGAGGCCCTGGGTTTGATCCCAGCACCAAAAAAAGAAAAGACAAAACCAAAAACCCTTCCCCCTCCCCCACCAAAAAAAAAAAAGAAAAAGAAAGAAAGGAAGGAGCAGTAATTACAAGGAACTGGGTTCAAGGCTTGGGTGGTGGGAGGAAGTTGACTACAAATGGTTGACAGAATTTTGCGGGGGACGGAAGTGTCTTTTGTCTTTGTGGTGATGGTGGTTACACAACTGCATGCATTTGCCCAAACAGAACTGTGACCAAAGATGGTCATTTTGCTGCACAGAAATTATGCCCAAGTATTCTGTGGAGGATGAAAAGATCCTAAAATTTATTTCTCTCTCCATCTCTTTTTTTTTGTGATGCTAGGGATGAAACCCAGGATCTTGCACATGTGTTCAGTCACTCCGCTTCCAGGCCCGTGGTCCCAAGTTCTCTGCCACTGAGCTACTTCTCCAGCCCTAGATTCTAAAATTTAAATGGAAGACCAAAGGATCAACAATCACCCTGCTGTTTATTTATTTGTTTTTTAAACTTTTCGGCAGGACTGGGCATTGTGTTCAAGAGTTTACACGCTTGCTGGGCAGCTCTGACACTTGGGCCACACTCCAGCCCTTCTGCTTTTAGTGTTCTCCAGATAGGCTCTTGTGCCATTCTGCTTAGTTTGGCCTCAGACCAAAATCCTCCTGCCTCCACTTTCACCTCCTGAGTAGCTGGGATTACAGGCCTACACCACCATCCCCAACTCTTAGCCCAAACATTTCTGATGAACAGGTAGAGGACTCACTTTGCTAACTAGAAAGCTTATTTTAAAATTGTAGTAATTAAGACAGTGCAGTTATGGGACCAATAACAAACTGGCCAATGACACAGAAGTAAGAGCTTAGAAACAGATTTCTGCATCTGTGAGACTTTCATTTTTGACAGAACGGCCCAGAAAAACAAATGAGACTCTTAGTCAAACTAGGTCAAAAAATCCACTCCACATGGATGAGGAACTTTAACATCAAAAGCAAACTTTGAAAACTTGAAAAGAAAATATAAGTGAATATCTTTCTAAGCTTGAAGCGGCGAAGAATTTATGAAGATACAAAAGAGGTTAGCAGAAAAGATCAGGAAGTTTGGCTGTGTTAATATTAAAGCTTTTGTCCTTCAAAAGGCGCTTTAAAGAGTGAAGACTTTAGGAGAAGACGCTAGTACAAGCCTAACTAGTGGAGGATTAGCACCGGAATACATAAGATGCCTACAAATCAGTAAGAAAACATCAGATAATGGGCAAAGGACCTGAAAATCATGCATCTGCCTTTCACAGAGGGAACATAAAAGGCCAATAAATATATGCAGAGGTAGTCAACCTCAGACAAAGGCAAATTATGAGCACAACAAGGTACCATTTTGTACCCATCGTATTGGGAGAATATTAAAAAGACTGATAATAGCAACCATGGGAAGATGGGGAGCAATGGGATTTCCAGCGGTTGCACAACCACTTGGAAAATACTTCGGCGTTCTCTCTGAAACTGGATCATCACACACCAACAAATGACCCAGCAATTCTACTCCTGGGTGTATATTATTAGCACATGAGTATTAAGAGAGAAATACAAGAATTAAAAAAGAAAAAAAAAACCCGTTTATAATAGCCAAAAACAGAGGGAGGAAGCCATCCCAAACCCCTCTGGCAGGTGCACAGCTAAGTTGTAGAATAGCCACCCAAAGGAAATAAAGAATAAAATGGGTGAATCTTAGTAATCTTAGCAATGTAACAGCAGGTAGAAATGCAAATCCTAGGGACCTATGACATCTTTTATAAAATTAGACACACACACTAGGGAGGGAGAGGGAAGGAGACAGATACAGAGAGAGAGAAGAGACAAGAGAGTGCTCAGCATAAATCTCAGACATAGGCTGCCCCAGGCAGGGAGTCAGCAGGATGGGTAAAAGAACAATAGGTAGATATCATTTATTAGCAATGACTTGTCCTTCGGTTGAGGGCTTGTCTCATGGATATTTGGTACATTTTAAACAAACAGAACATCTATTGCTATCGTTGACCAACCTCTGAGGGCCATTTCCACACAGACTGTTGAAGTTAGAAGGTCTCTTTAAGACCAGCCTCGTTGCTCCTGTGGACATCCTCCAGGACATGGAAGTGGAGCCCTGATGAGCACAGGGCTGTGAGAACTGCTTCCTCAGGCAGCTCAGGTGGCTCTGCACACTGGCACTCAGACTGCTGCAGCCATGTATTGCTGAGGCGGGGAGACCACAGCAAACAGCTGATGCAGTTCCATACCATTAGTCCTGGATTTTCAGCAACGACTAAACTCAGTCAACATCAAGTTCTCAAAGTCTAAGGGAACTGCCAATATTCTTATTAATTTGGATTAATAAGAAAGAGAGGCATTTATTGGATACTTACCCCATCAAACACAAAAAAATCCTGTAGGCATTACTCTGACATCACATATAAGGAACCCGAGGCTCAGAAGTCATGTCTACCCCAAAGCTCCACAGACTACAAGCGCTTAGGCTGGGATCCTATTTGAAGCCTGCATTTTTTTTCTGATATTACATGTGCTCCCAGATGGCATCCCTGGTAGGTGACACAGGCATATCAGAGTCTATCCACCATTCCACACAGTCGGGTATAACTAGCAGAAGGAGTGTCTGT